CGGCCCAGGGAGCCCCAGGACAGCCCCAAGAGGGGGACCAGACGGGGAACCCGAACGGACATGTCGAGTCTTCCACCCCAAGACGCCTCAGGGTTGCCCCAAGAAGCCCCCAACAGGCCCCCAGGGAGCTCAAGATGACAGCAAAAAAACCCAAGAGGCTCCCAGGAGGCCCCCAAGAGGTTCAAAAATTGCCTCCTCCCGCGAGAATCCATCAGCTACCCGAGTGGCCTCGGACCCGCAGCCCAGGCACGGCGGCGGGATGTGCCGAGGGGCGTTCGATAGTCATCCTTCAAGTGTTTTGACAGATGTCCCGACCATTTCTCCATGTGTGCACGGCGGATACTGAGAACGTCAGCCCAACAAGCCCCGAAAAGGACCCCATGAGGCCCCCATGAAGCCCCCAAAGAGCTTTAAGAACCCCCCAAAGGCGCACAAGATGCCCCCAGGAACAACACGCGACAACCGCCAGTTCCCCAAGGGGCCGGCGGTGTGGCATAAGCCAAAGAATCCACGTCCGCAGGTGACGTGCTGAGTGGCAGCGATTTTCGGCAAACGCCTTACTGCAACGTATCCCATGTATCCAAAACTTGCAGAACCCCTACATATTGCATTGTGTTACATTCTGATGTCTACCCCCTAACGCCCTTTTGAAGCCGCGCCACTCCGCCGGACCAAGATCACGCCGCCCTTCTCGGGCTCTCAAAACCTGTCAAAATCATAGGACCTCGGCGATTTAGATCTCTTGAACCTGCCGGAAGCTCGAGAAGGCTGCACAATTCCTAAGATGGCCTCAGGGCTGGCCAAGACAGCCCGAACACGGCTCAAGATGGCCCATCCAGGGCCCACGAGGCCCTCCAGACGGCCCAAGGGGGCTACACAAGCACACACAACAGCGCCTCCAGAGACCAAACTCATTGATTCCCCGTTGGTTGTTGATGGTTTTTAACGTTTTCGCCTGCTTCGACTCTCGAAAACCCATGACGGCCAAAGCAGCAACCAAAATTGCTCCAAAAAGGCCCAAGAACCAATAAAAAGGGGCCCGACGGCCACGGAGGAGCCAAAAACGACTCCGAAGACGGCCCAGCGCGCCCCCAAGACGGCCCAAGAGGACCTGAGAAACCTCTCAAGGCGGACGCGAACAGTCCCCAAGACGGCCTCTGGAGGGGTCAGACGGCCTACAAGGCACCTAGAAGGCTCCCAAACAGACCGACATGGCGCCACGAGGCCCCCAAAAACCGTCCCAACTACTCCCCAGAAGCCAAGAGGCCCGCAGGGAACTTCACTGAAGCACCCAAAAACGCCCTTGCGCATCGTGCGGGAAGCTTCACCAAACAGCTCCGCAAGCTGGTCCTCCGTGCGCGCGCGACACGTGTGCACGCGGTCCTCCGACCCAAGATTGACGCTAGCTCGGAGCACGCGGCGAGTGCCCCGTGCACCTCTTCTTATGAGGTCGTTCACTTCGCTGCGCAGCTGGGCACAGAGTGGTCCCCATGCGACCCTACCGCGCCCGAAGGCGCCCTGGGGCGTTCCCAAGGGCCGGCCAAGTTTCACGAAGCCGATGCCCAGAAGAAACGACGAACATCTTCCGAGACGCCCAAACGCCCGCACTCTCCGCAATCCGCACTGAGCTTACAGGAGGCGCACGATGCCCTTACTGCGCGCGTTCCGACGAGCAGGCCATACTAGGCAACGCCCACATTGCACGTTTAGTTGTCTCGCGCGTTTTTTGTTTTTCGGGGGTTCCGTTCTACGGGGGCTGGCGCGCGCTTATTCATGGCGCGCGCATCGGCCTGGCAGCGGGCGCGCGTGGACTCAGCGGACAGCGCGGGCGCCGAGCGCCGCGAAGTCCCCGAGTCAAGACGAGGTCTGGACAAAGGCCAGGACGGCGCGAAGGGCGGCGCGGAGCATGGGCCACTCCAGCGGTCTCGGGTGGAACAAGGGGGCCCCCGAGAGCGCCTCCAGAAGCAAAACGCACAGGTTCCAATTTGTTTATTATGTATAAAAAACGATTTCAGTGTTCTCCCATTTTTCGACTCTCGAGGGCCACGACCGCCGAAGCAGCCTCCCAAACAACCCCCACACGGCCCAAGAGGGCCCCAAGACTGCCGCCCACATGGCCCAAACAGGCCCCCAAGACGTTCCAAGAAGCCCTCGAAACGGCCCTAGAGGGGGTGCAAACACGTACGAACGTCTTCATTTCCGTCATCGCCCCTTCTGACACGGGAAGAGGCCGCGCAACAACGGCGGCTGAGGAGACCAGACGGCGAAAGAGGAGCACCCCAAGAGGCCTCAAGGCCTCAAGGACGCCCACCCCGAGGCTCTGGAATGGCGTAAGCCTCTTGAGTCCAAGTCCAGATGTGACGTGCTGAGCGGCGGCGTTTCCCGCTGATACTGTGATGCAGCGCGTCCAATATATCAAATGATTGCAGACTTGCTACGTCGTGCATAATAATGAATAAGTACGGCGACCCACTACCCTCCCTGGTGTCGCGCCCTTCCACAGTGGCACCCCCCTTCTCGGGCTTTCAAAACCTGTGAAACTAAATATGGGAGATCGGCGTTTTGGGCCTCCGGGGAGCCCAAAGGATTGCAAAATGGCACAGGATGGCCTCGGGCCCGGCTCCAAGATGGCCCAAGATTGCCCCCCCAAGGATTACGAGGCCCTCGAGACGGCCCAGGAGGGCCCAGAGAGCGCCCACAACAGCGCCTTGTTTTTTGTTCAGAGTTTAGCGTTCTCGCCTGCTTCGACGTTCAAAAACCCACGACGGCCAAAGCAGCAGCCAGAATGGCCCCAAGAAAACGCAACACAAAAACCCAAAAGGGGCCCAAGACTCCCCCGGAGGGACCAAAAACGGCCTCCAACACGGTCCCAAGACGGCCCCAGAGGACCCAGAGAACGCCCCAGGGCGGCCGCGAAGAGGTCCAGAACGGCCTCCGGAGGGATCCGACGGGCTCGAAGCCCGCCAACAAGTTGCCCCAAACCGGACCGACACGGCCCCGCGAGGCCCCCGGCAAACCTTCCGACAACACAAGAAGCCTCACTGTCGGGAGCGGCCAAGAGGGGGGCGTCCAAGAGGGGGGGGTGCAAATCTTGACCGGCGGCACGTGCGCGGCCCAGCGGGGAGGCCAGGGACGTGATGAAATAAGAAGAGGCGCAATGAGACCTGGGGAAATATCATGGCCCCCGCCATGAGATCCGCCCCCCCTGCCGTTTCTGCCGTTTCTGCCGCTTCTCGCTGAGCCAGCGTCTGTGCAGCCGGCCCAAGGCGCGGATCGCAAGCAGCGACCCCCAGAGGTCGTGCCCACGCTCGTACGACGGCCCTGCATCCACCCCCCCTCGTCATCACCCCCCTCTTTTCCGCCCCCGACACTGAGGCGCCCGGAAACGCCCTCGCGCACCGTACGGAAAGCCTCGCCACGCGGCTCCGCAGGCCGGGCCCCCGCGCACGTGCGACGCCCGTCCCGAGCTTGCACGGGCGGTCGGCCGACCGAGCGTCGAGGTGCTGCCACTCGCTCGGCGCACGCGGCGAGGTCCAGCGCACCTCTCTCTCGGAGGTCGATCGCTTCGCTGCACAGCTGGGCGCAGAGTGGCCCCCGAGACGGCTCTCCCAGGATCCATGCGACCCTACCGCGCCCGAAGACGCCCTGGGGCGCTCCCAAAAGGCAGCCAAGTCTCACGAAGTCGATGCCAATGAAGAACGACGAGCATCGTCCGAAACGCCCCAAACGCCCGCACTGTTGGCAATCTGGACGTGCGCCCCGCGAGGCGAGAGGAATCCGAAGAGTCCTGCCAAAGGCTCCTCAGAGGCACTTCGGAGGCTCTTCAGAGGCGTTTCCAAGTGCTCCTCAGACGCCCGTCTGAGTCACCCAGCAAGCCCACGAAATCCAGGGGCACGCGAGTTCACAAAGACATGCGCAGGAGGAGGAGGAGGAGGAGGAGGAGGAGGAGGAGAAGGAGGAGGAGGAGGAGGAGGGGGAGGGGAGGGGGAGGGGGGAGGGGGAGGAGGAGGAGGAGGAGGAGGAGGAGGAGGAGGGGGAGGAGGAGGAGGAGGAGGAGGAGGAGGAGGAGGAGGAGGAGGAGGAGGATAGAAACGTGTCCTGGTGGATGGGGGTTGCCAGAGGCGGCCCTGGTCCGAGGCGGACACCCAGCTAGTCCGGGGAGGCCCTGGTGGCCTCCAGAGCACCCCGTGCCAGGGACCAGAAGGCCCGAAAGTGAGAGACGCAAATGGCGCGACAACCTGGGGGATGACCCAAAGTCCACCTCTGGTCACCTCTGGTCTCGCGTAGCCTCCGACTGGAAACGGGTCCTGGACCCCGCGGGTGTTCTCCGGGGCCAGGTCCTCCTCCTGCGCTGCTCGTTGACACGCCCAGGACCCAGGGAAGCCCCCGGGAGCCCGGAAACGGTGAGACCCCTCTTCTTCAGGCCGAGCAAAGGCGACAGATGTCCCGAAGCACAAGGTCCTCCCGAAGGTCACATCGCCTTCGGAATGCAGGAGGCATGGGCCGGGATGCACATGGCACAGGGGTGCTCTTGATTCGGCATGGTCGCCCTACTAATGCGGGATGACGATTAATAAAAAAAATGGAGGGGAAGGAATCGAAAAATAGTTTCTTGCTATTTCTGCATAATTTTCTGACTGGAGGAGAACGATTAAAAAGAATAGTGTTCCAGCCCGCGGCTGGTTTCTTCGAATCGTCATCCCAGGCGCCGCCGCGTGAACACGACCCCCGGTCATTTATGAATCGTCATCCTCCATTACTCAACCTCCTGATCCATGACCACTCTCCTTCAGGCCTCTTCAGGCCCAGCAGAGAGGCGAGGAATGCCCAGAGACGGGCGTGGTTGCTTGTTTGGTTCAGATTCGCTCTTGGGAGCGCCCCGGGCACCTGTCGTCGCGCCTCGCGCCATACGTTCGCTCCCTCGCGCTGCCTTCCCAGGAACACCTACTTCCTTGGGAATGAGGTCGCTCCCTCGCGCTCCCTCGCTCCCTCCCTCCCTCGCGCTCCGTTCGCTTCCCATCACATACGTTCGCTCCCTCCCTCGCGCTGCGAGCTCGCGCTCAACAGTCGGCTTCCGGCGGCCTGCCGCCTGATGTGCCCGCGACCAGGGCTCGCAGCGTAGCGCTGCGGGCGGCCCCAGTGGGCTCCATCCTCGCCTGCAGCAGCTTGCCGAAATGCCATAGCGCATGCTGCAACGCCCCGTTCTTCTCGCCGCCGACGATTGCAGCTTCGTGGAATCCGCCGACCCGTTGGGGGTCATCGGCGTGTGAAATGCTTCCCCCTCCCCAAACCCCTCCCCCGGGAGCCGGATCCGGTCGATTTGGAGGGGGGCTCCACCCGGGCCGGCCAGGGGGGGTAAACGGGCCAGGAGGACCCCAAGACATCTCCCAAACGGTCCAAGAGGGCCCCGAGTCGCAGAATCAATGTTCCAAGACGCCCAAGATGGCCTCCAGACGGCCTATGATGCCTCCAAAACGCCCCAAGAGGCTTCGAAGAGGTCTCCCGAGAGGCCCAAATCGGTGATTTTCATTTGCGTTTTTTTGTCCAGTTTGTAGGCTTCTGACCTTTTCCGGCTTCTGACGCTCGAAGACGGCCCAAGAGGACCCCACGACCGCCACAAGACGGCCCAAGATGCCCCCAAGATGCCCCCAAGAAGGCCCCAAGACGCCCCAAGAGGGCCCCAAGACGGCTCTAGCAGGGCCCAAGAAAAGGACCACGAACCGAAGATTCAAGCTTCCCGCCTCAAGAGGCCCCTGGGAGGCCCTAAGAGGCCCCAAAGGGGCCCCAGGAGGCCCTTAAGAGACCCCCAAGAAGCCCAAAAGAGGCCCCAAGAGGCCCCCAAACAGCCGCCCCCCAAAGGCCTCCAAACTGCCCCGGGCAGGCCCCCGAGAGGCTTCTCACGAGATCCCAACGAACATCCAAGAGGCCTCTGAACTACAACCCAGGCATGGTGGCGGGATGGACCGAAGGCCACTAGAGATAAATACAAGCATGAGTCACGCAGCACCCAGAAGCCGCAACAGCGACTCTTCCCCAAGAGGTCGGCGGTGCGGCGTAAGCCAAATAATCTTTAATCGGCCTCCACTTTCACCTCAAACACCTCGACGAGCAGCGACAAGGTCCGCCGCCACTGCTTCCTGTGCCTACACGCGTCGCTTCCAACGCTGTAGCTGGTGACAGCGGGCTCCAGCTTCCCTTCCCGTATATAACTGAACAGCGACAGGGCCCGCTGCCAATGCCTGCCTTCAATCCACGATCTGATCCCACCACTGCAGCTGATGACGGTGGACTCCAAATTCGTCTCGACCATCTCGCTAAGCAGCGACAGGACCGGCTGCCACTGCTGACCTTTCTCGCCAGCGCTGATCCCAGCACTGTAGATAATGATAATGGTATCGGGCTCCAGTTTCGTCTCGACCATATGGCTGAGCAGCGACAGGGCCCGTCGCCACTGCTGACCTTTCTCTCAAGCGCTGATCCCAGCCCTGTAGCTGATGACAGTGGGCTTCAGTAATGTCTCGACCATATGGCTGAGCAGCGACAGGGCCGGCTGTCACTGTTGACCTTGCTTGCAAGCGCTGATCCCAGCACTGTAGCTGATGACAATGGGCTCCAGTCTCGTCTCGACCATCTGGCTGAGCAGAAACGGGGCCGGCTGCCACTGCTGACCTTTCTCGCAAGCGCTGATCCCAGCACTGTAGATAAAGATATACCGTAGATTTTATCGGGCTCTAGATTCGTCTCGACAATGTGGTTGAGCAGAGACAGGGCCAGCTGCCACTGTTGGCCTTGCTGGCAAGCGCTGGTCACAACACTGTAGTTGATGACAGTGGGCTCCAGTTTCGTCTCGACCATCTGGCTGAGCAGCGACAGGGCCCGTTGCCACTGCTGACCTCTCTCACAAGCGCTGATCCCGGCACTGTAGATAACTGTATCGGGCTCAAGTTCCGTCTCGACCATCTGGCTGAGTTGCGACAGGACCCGCTGCAACTGCTGACCTATCTCGCAAGCGCTGATCCCAGCACTGCACATAACTGGGAGGGAGGAAGAGAGGACAGCGGAGGGACAGGAGATGGAAGGAACTCACGCACCCGGGCTCAAGGAAAGCAATCCTCTCAAACCAGCACGCGCGGAAACGACTCATGGAAACCAGATCCGCAGCATGCCCGTCGTCATCAACGCAACGTCGCGCTACGGGTGCCGACGATGCCCGAGTCTCAGAGCTGATCCTAGCGCCTCTGTAGCTAGCTAGTGACGTCGGGCTCCAGCGTCGCCTCCCGCATATCGCTCAGTAGCGCCGGACCCTACTGCCATGCTCGCCCTTCTCGCACGCGCTGATCCCAGCGCTGCAGCTCATGGCATCGGACTCCAGCTTCGCCTCCCACATCTCCCTCAACAGCGACAAGGCACGCTGGCACTGCCCGCCCTTCCTGCACGCGCTGAACCCAGCGCTGCAGATGAGGACGTCGGGCTCAAACTTCGCATCCCACATCTCGCTCAGCAGCGCCACGGCCCGCTGCCACTGCTCGCCCTTCTCGCACTCGCTTATCCCGGCGCTGAAAACTTATGGTCACGGGCTCCGACATCGCATCCCGCAACTCGCTGAGCAGCTGTCGACACTGGGCTCCAGCTTCACAATTGGGATCTCGCTGAGCAGCGGCAAGACAAGATTTCACTGTACGCCTCTATCTGACAAATGCTGACCTCACCGCTGTAATCAAAACTAGGGCGGATCCGTGTAATGTTATCCGAAGCGGCTTCCTGCGCGATGGAGCGCCGCTGTCAAATTCTAAATACAGATGGCCGTCCACACAATCAAATTGGTTGCCCAGCAAGTTCTCACACGCACAGCGCTTCGCAAGACAGGCGAAAACGCGAAAGACCGATCCCAAGATAGCCTGGGAATCCTGCCGAGTTGCGAGACGACCTCTCATACGCTGTGATGCACAATGTGTAGCTCATGCCGTCGGGCTCCAACTTCGCCTCCCAAATCTCGCTCAGCAACGCCAGAGCCAGCTGCCATTGATCACAATTCCAGCACGCGCCGATCCCAGCACTGTAGCTGATGACGGTGGGCTCCAGCTTCGCCTCCCGAATCTCGCTGAGCAACGCCAGTGCACGGTGCCACCTTTCACCCTTCCCGCACGCGCTGATCCCAGCGTTGTAGCTGACTACGTTGGGCTCCAGCTTCGCCTCCCGCATCTCGCTGAGAAGCGCCAGAGCACTCTGCCACTGCTCGCCCTTCTCGAACGCGCTGATCCCAGCGGTGTAGGTGACTGGGGCTGACCCGTGGACTCCGTCCACGACATCTTGCCGAACTGGTTATAGGGGGAGCGGCGGAAACGCTGCCCAAAAGCTATCCAAATGGCGGCGCGCCGCCGGCGCCTGGCCGGAGGTTGGGGCCCACACTCCGTCGAACTGGCGGGGCGTCCCGCGGGCCTGCATAGGATGTCCCCGCCGAGGAAGGGGCGGCAGAGCTGTCAGAATCGGTCCCTGGGGCCCCCCACCCAACTGTTGAAGCGCACCAGTGTTGTCTGCTGCGTCCAACCGTGGCGGCGTGGCGCCCTCCTGAAGGTGAACTGTCTGTGTGTGAGGTCGGCCTCCGCCGATCTCGTCTGGCCCGAGCCTGGGCAGAAGCTGGCCTCCTCTCTGCTTCCATCGCCTGGGCCGCCTCTCCGAAGCACGCCCAGATCCCGTGCCACCCCAACGCCTCGCGGCGCTGCGCCGCGCGAGGCCCGGTGACCTTCGCGCCCTTGTGCCCGAAGCCTCGGCGACGGGCAGCGCTCCGTGTGCAGCCACGCGCCGTGTGAGGGGTGCGCCGAGCTTCAGGACGGGAAAAAAACACACAGACACCATGAATCGTCGATTCCCAAGAGAATATGGGAAAATATGGGAAGTGGGGGGGAAGACAGAAACCCAGAAAATATGTGAACATATGGGGCATATTTTCATTTGTGTATTTATTTGTGTGCCCCAGGGCCCCTTCAGAGCTGGAGGGCAGAACCGCCGCGCGCCCTTCTCTGACACAAGATTGGTTTCTCATCCACCCTCCATCCCCGCAGAAACGAAACCCCGAACTCCAGAGTAAGCGGCAAAGCGCAGGTTGACGAAAGACGTCTCTCCGGAGCCATTTTGCCCACCTGTGACCTCGGAGAAGAAACCTCGAGCGTGGTGCTGATTTTCTGTCGATGTGGCGGGCCGAGGAGTGGTTTGGGGGGGCTTTCTTTTGGCCGACCCCGGGACCATGGAGAATGGCCTCCGAGGTTACGGAGTCTTTTTCGTGGGCGTCATTGATCAACGAAAGATCCGGGCGAGACGTCCGTGCCCGATCTTGAGCTTGGGGGAAAGACTTCGAAGTAGGTACTGGCTACGGTACTGGCATTCCGTGGACGTGGCGAATCGACGAACGTCCTAGGCAAGGGTTAATTGCTCCGCCCTGGGGCGCCGGGAAATAAACCTCGAAGTCGGGGTTGATTTTCCGTGGGTGTGGCCGCGCCCTGGGGCTTTTGTCCCGCCTTGTAAGAACCTCTTTCTTAGGACCCTGTTGGGCCGTCTGGTGGCCTCCTGGGTTGGGGCCCTCTTGGGCCGTCTTGGGTGCCCCGCCCCTTAGGCCGTCTTGGGGCCGTCTGGGACTGTCTTAGGCGGCTCCAGGGCTGTCCTCGGACGGCCTTGGGGCTCTCTTGGGTCGTCTTTGGCCCTCTTGGGGCTGTCGTGGGAGCCGCTTGGGCCATCACGGGCGCTTCAGGAGCCGTCCTGGGACCGCCTTGGGCCGTCTTGGGGCCCTCCTGGGGGCTCTTGGGGGCCTATATAGCCGTCTTGGACACTGCGAAGACGAAAATAACGAACATGGAGAAATTCTATGTTTTCCGACGGGGATGGAATGGTTTTTGGCTCTGGGGCCTCTCCTGGGGGTCTTCGGTCTTCCTAGGCCGTTTTGGGGGCGCCCCGGCCTGCCTTGAAGGCGTCCCTGAGCCGTCTTGGGGCCGTCTTGGGGCATCTGGGGACCCCCCGGAGCCGTCTCGGAGCGTCCTGGGGCCTCTCAGGGCGCCCCGGAAAGCCCGGGAGGCCACACGAGACAGAGGACTCTCAGGGCGCCCTGGAGGGCGCCCCAGAGGGCCCGGGGGGGCACTCAAGACAGAGGACCTTCTCGCACGCGCGGGCCCCTGAATTGTAGAAGAGATGACGTTGGGCTTTAGCTTTGCGTCCCATATCTCCCTGAGCAGTGCCAGAGCCCGCTGCCACTGCTCGCCAGTCCTGCACGCGCTGATCCCGGCGTTGTAGCTGATGACGTCGGGTTCCAAGGTCGCCTCCCGCATCCCGCTGAGTAGCGACAAAGCACGCTGCCACTGCCCGCCTTTCTCACAAGCGCTGATCCCAGCACTGTAGCTGAGGACGTCGGGTTCCAGCTTCGTCTCCCGCATCTCGCTCAGCAACGCCAGAGCCCTCTGCCACTGCGTTCCCTTCTCGCACGCGCTGATCCCAGCGCTGAGGCTGATGACGTCGGGCTTCACAGTTTCCTCGCGCATCTTGCTCAGCAGCGCAAGAGCCCGCTGCCACTGGTCGCCCTTCTCGCACGCGCTGATCCCAGCGTTGTAGCTGAGTAAGGCTGGCCCGTGGACTGCTGTCCACGAAGGCCAGTGGTCAGAGTGACCGCGCTGCGGTTCATTGCTTCATTGACAAGTAGCACGTCGTCCAACACCCGTTATTTTTCCTCGTGCTTGGCTCGTCCTCGTCGTCCGCCTACTGCTCCTCCTCCACCTCGTCATCAACATCCTCCCCGTCGTCGCGCTTGGCCTGTCATCGTCATTCGGCTCCTGCTGCTGCTCCTCCTCCTCCTCCTGCTTTTCCTGCTCCTCCTATTCCTCCTCCTCCCCCTCCTCCGCCACCTCGTCATCGTCCTCCTCTTCCCCCTCCAGGAAGTCGTGCGGTTCCGATTCCGCGGGCAGGAACGCCTCCGACGGGGGATAACGACAACGGCGAGGAGAAGGAGGAGGCCCACGATAATTAGAAAAACAAAAGCCCCCACCTTTAAGGACACGACCACCGCGGCATGGATCGCAGAAGCGGTGTCCCCAGTTGGCCGCAACTGGAGCTGACAGCTTTTATCAACAACCCCTCCCGCGCGAGAGGTGTCCCGACACTTGTGTGTATGCGCGTATGTATATATGCGTATCTATTATATGTATGTGTGTGTATGTGTGTATGATATATATATACATATATATATACATATATATATATGTATATATATAGATGTAATATATGAAATATATGTATATGATACTTATACATACATATATATATACATAGCTATATAGCATGCCTACATAGTTCCGCCATCCCCCCGTGTGCCAAGCAAAGAAAGGCCCTCAAGACGGCATATTTTTCTGTGTGGTCCACGCGGCGGAACGGCCAGCTCTGGTTGCGAGCAAGAGAGCCGCCACACTGACGAGACCAGAGCAATGAAACGATATCGGCGGTTTCGCACAGCCCCCCCACGGAGAAGGAGAGAGCGAGGGAGGGAGGGAGGGAGAACTTGAACCAGAAACCGAATTACGGCACACTCGTAAGATGGCTGTTGCTTCTACTTTGAAAAAAAAAGGACAGCTCCGCCATCCCCCCCGTGTGCCAAGAAAAGATACGCAATCAAGACGGCACCATTTTTCTGCGTGGTCCACCCAGCGGAACGGCCAGCTCTGGTTGCGAGCAGGAGAGCCGCCAAACTGACGAGACCAGAGCAATGAAACGAGACCGACGGTTTCGCACAGCCCGAGCCCGAGAGGTGGAACTGGCCGCCAGGCCGAACACTGATAAACAAAACAAGAACTTCCGAAGGTTCAGCCTGCAAGTCAAAACCGGCAGGCTTCATCCCCAATGCCCAGGAATGCTTCTTTAGGCTACGGCTGTTTTCGGCCACGAGGCGGATGTTTCGCGCAAGCGTTCTGGATAACCTCTTCGGATAGCAAGTGGCAACTGACGTACGCTTTCCCACTTGCAGGGTCAACGCCTTCAAGTACGAGATGAGGCTTGCAAGTCTTTGAGCACAATCCATTACGTCCTGTACAGCGCTGATGCAGACAAGCGTGGAAACCAGCTCCCCACATAGCTATCCTGATTCCCTTCCCCCAAAGAGCCCCAGCGCGACACATATCGAGAATGTGCACATGACACTCGGAATGGCCGAGAAGAGAAGCCAAAAAGGGAGCGTGCCACATGTCGGAGGCCGCCGGGATCTCCAGGTACACGGGGGTCCCCATACGGACGCAGGTTTTGCTCACATTCACGGAGAGCTTGAAAGTGTCGCTTCCGACCTGGGGCCTAGCGAGCTCAGACCCGCTGAGGTCCTGGAGGCCCATGGAGGCCTGGATGCTCCGGAGAGGCTTCCGAAGGGCCCGAGGCCAGGTGGCGCGCGGAGTGCCGAGCCAGACGCCAACAATAACCGGTCCCTGAAGCCACCCGCGGACAGCGCTCCAGAAGGCCGGGCCCAGGTGGTCCTCCGGAGCCCCATTCTCGATATCAAATGACAGGCACGCGTGCCCAGCGGCTCTGAGGGCCTGGCCCAGTTGGGCCGGTCAAGCGAACATTCCAGGAAGGCGAAGCGACGCATGTGACTGGCCCGGCGCAGCAAAGAAGCAAAGGCGCGCTCGAGGCACTGCGTCACCGCGAGGCGTCCCGCAGCGGCTCCGCTCGAGCGGGCGGCGGCACGGGCCGCCCGTGCGACAGCGCTGCCACCGCCTGTGGCTGGGCACCCGGCGGCAGACCGCCGCCGCTGCGGAGGAGCTCCGGCAGGTAGTTCAGCGCGAGGTTGTCGTAGGCAGAGACCTCCGGCGCGATCGAGTTCAGGGCGTCGACGAGCCGAGCGTCCTTGGCGCACCTCTTCACTGACGCGAAGGTGGCCCACCCCCCGCGGAGGCGCACTTGCTCGGCCGAGCGACAAGCGAGAGTCAGGTCCTCTGAGGCCCCCCCCCCCTGGCGTAGCTGGTAGGGGTGCGGGCCCAGCGGGCCGAGGCCCAGCGCCACGGCGGCATCGATGAATGCCTGGCGGGGCTCCACGAAGCTCATGTCCACGATGCCGTCGGGCCTCAGCGTCGCACGGACACTGGCCAGCGCGGGGCACAGCCAGGAGTCCAGGTCGATGGCCACAGCATCGTCGTGCACGCCTGTCTTCCCAGCCAGCAGACGCGCTGAGTCGTGCAGCAGGATTGGCCAGCACTGGCAGGCTGGCCCAGCCATCTCCGCGGGGGTGACATGGTGACACGCGCGCACCTGCATCATCTCCCGCGGCCTCAAGCAGCACGCGCGGGCGACCGCGGTCAGCAGAGCCGAGCGCGGGAAGCCGCGGTGGATCAGCTGGCCGACGACTGCGTCCATGGCCGCCCGAGGCGCCGGCAGCCGCGCGAATGGCGGGGCGCGGCGCCTCCCGCCCAGCGCAGCTCGCGAAGCCCGAGGCAGCGCTGTTGCCCCCGAGCGCCCTGGGCCTGACAGGAAATGCGCTGGGGCGGCAAACGCGCCGCCCCCGACGTCTGGCCCCAGCCACTCCAGGAACAAGCCGTTGAAGAAATCGACCAGGAGGCCGTCGAGGGTAGGCCAGTCGTTCCAGTCCAGCGCCAGCGCCACACAGTGGCCCAGGAACCGTTTCAGCAACGAGCGGCGCAGGACTTCTGCGGGAGGGCGGATTGCCAGCCGTTCCAGGGGCGACAGCCCGCCCAGCAAGGCCAGCCCCTTCACTGTCGCCGAGGCCGCCGACGCACTGAAAGCCCCGAGCAATGTCGGTATGTTCTCAGGACGGCCCCCGGCCTGAAGCCGCCCAGGCCCCGGGCGGGCGCGAGGCATCAACTGCCGCCCATGAGAGGGGCTGGCCGGGCAAGGACGGCCCGGGCGGGGCCCCCAAACGAGGGGCCTGGTGAGCCGAAACAGGCGACGAGCGATAGCGTCTGACGGCACGGAAATCAGTGAGCCAGCCGAACTTCTCGCGGGATGGAACATCGCTGACGTTCCTCTGCGGGAACCCATCTGACAACAAAGCGACAACCAGCGACCGCAGATAGACACGCGAGCTCGGCAAGGCGCGGCTTGAGAAACTTCGATATGGCTCGCTCCTCGGCCGCCCCGAGAGCGAGCGGAAGGTTAATCGACCACGTGCGATAATAAATCAGAACCGCCCGTCACCCCCTCTATGTGTACAATCGCCGTTCAATCGGATTTACTTGTGGAGATGGGCGCGGAGGCTGGGATCTATAGTCCACGTGGGAAGTTGCGAGTCGAAGTTGCGATCATCTCATGTTGCCTAGCAACAGCATCAAAAACGCTGAGCGTGGCCAAGGTGGTCTCACCACCTCAGCTTCCCCCATCACGGGCGCGCGGCAGGACCTGCCCGGCGAGGCCCAGCGGCCATGCCTCTGAGTCTGCTCCAGCGCCCTGCGGCCCTCCGGCAGATCCCAGTTCGCCGCGCCTCGCCTCGGCGCGCGCAGCGTCGGGCTGAGGGCGCGCGGCTGGAGCGGGTCGAGAACTGCTTGAACTGGTCGCGCAGCGCTGGCAAGGAGAAATCCCAGAGGCTCTGCGGTTGAAGCCCATGGCGGCCTTTAGGCATGCGAATAGCGGCCGCAGGTGCGGGTCGAGGTCGACCACCACGCTCTCCCTGCGAAGACCTGTCTTGCCTGGGAGGCGTCGGGGCGGCGCCCGGCTGCCGACGGAGGCCGCTGCCTGCGCCGCCGGGCGGAACGGCGAAGCGCCTCGGAGCCCCTGCGCCTCGAACGGCCTCGGGTGGCAGCTGAGCGAAGGCAGAATCCAGACTGCCACGCGCCCGCTGATGGCCAGCAGCCCCACCAGCGCCGCAGCTGCGCGGCAGGGCGAGGGCGCCCTCGCCATGGCGGGCGCGCGCCGCTGCCAGGCCATGGAGCTCCACGCGGCACGCGGGGGCTGGGCCTTCCAAGAGCCCTGGGGGCCTGCAGGATGTGCGAAAGCGAAGCCAGCAACAACGACTCCTGGCTCTCGGGGGCCCCCTGCTCGAACTGGCGATTCAGCCGGTTGCCGCCGCGCCCAGCTGCCCGACGACCGCCCAGTCCAGGCGGAGCTGGGAACAGAAGTCCACGAACTCTCGCAGGATCCTGCGACGCTGCTCCTCCGTGCTGGACCGCGCCGCCATGGTCTCCAAAGCGCTCAGCTGCCCCCAGGGCGGCCGCTCGGCCAGCTGGCGACCCGCCAAGGCCGCGCGTTGGGCGCCCGCCACCAAGGCCGGCAGCGCAAGCCACTACGCGGCCGCCGCAGGGACAGGGGCGCCGCCGAGACCGCCGGCCGCAGCCGAGCCAGCCTGTAGCGGACAGCCGCGGCTGCCGAGGGCGACCGGCAGAGTCTGAAAACCAAGTGCGACGCACTCGAGACAAGACGTCGGCGTGGCTGCGTTCTGACGGGGCCCACGTGCAATATGAACTCGTCCCCGTCGCAAGTGACATCGTGAAACTGTTCAGAAGTGGAAGCTGTAGGTAAGATGAGGTTGCTCTTCCCTTCGCCACGGCTACACATCGCGGCGCGTTGTCAACCGGGGCCAAGACACGCCTGCTACGGCACGCTGAGGACCTCAATGGGCGCATGTAGGCAACAACAGGGGCATCCACCTCCAGACCCAAGATAATTTAGTCCGCGTGGACCTGCGTCGACACTGCAACCCTTGGAGACTCGGCATCCAGCCGCTCTGCGGGAACCTCGCCTAACTCCTGGAGCTTGCGGCCCAGATCCAAGACAAGGGGGCCCATGCAGTCGCGCTCCATGTCGGGCCCCCCGGGGTCCCTGATGGGGCCCTCCGTTAGTGTTCATCGGGCTCAAGGAGGCCATGGAGGGTTTCTTGATGGCCTTATCGGGGCCCGCGTAGTCCAGGGTAAATGGCGAAGCCGCGAAGCCCTCCGATTGGCGAGCAGGAAATCGAATCCAGAAACGGTACACAGCGAAACAGGACCCAATGCTTACGCAGATTGAGAGGGCGGCTGAGAGGCCGCGGAGGGGAGGGGAGCTCTGTCTCTGGCTCGCGCCCCCCCCCCCGACCCGGCGCCGCCGCCGCTCGCGCGGCCGCCCGCGGCAGGCGATCAGCCGGCGCGAGGCCCGACGCCGGCGCGCGCCATGGCCCTCCTCGCCGGCGTCGCTGGCGACGAGCCGCGCGGCCCAAGGCGCCGTCAGGTCCTCGACCGGCAAGGGCAGCGGGCAGCGGGCGCTTCCGAGCTCCGCGCGGGCCGCGGGCCACAGAGCGCCCGCCTCAGCGCCGGCGGAGGCCGTGAAGGCGCGCGTCGCGTTGAGCGCGCCATCGAGGCCAATGTCAAGCGGCCGATCAGCGCGCGCGCGCCGGGTGACCCGAAGCGCGCCCGCGCCTCAGCAGCTCTTCGGCGGCGAGCTGCAGCCTCGCTGCGTTCGATGGCAAGCCAGCGCCAGCGCCGCAGCCCCATGCCCAAGAAGCTGCCGGCGTCGGCAGCCCGCTCGGGCGCGCGAGTCTGCAGACCGGCGGCCTCCAGCGCTGCAGCGATGCGGTCGAGCGATCTGTCGGCCGGCGCCTCGTCGCTGCAGATGGCCAAGCGGTTGTCGACGCGAAGCTCATCGGCAGCGCGACGAGGCGCGCCCGGGGCAGCCCGGCGCTCGGGAGCCCCGAGATGCCGCGCGCCTCGAGGCGGCGCCTGCCGACGGGCGGCAGCCTATTGCGCAAGGGCCCTCGGGCATCTGCAGCTCGTAGAAGGCGTTGTCGATGTCTCCCGCGGCCGCGACCACGCGGTCCTCAGGCGTCTCCAGGTCGGCGAAGGCGGCGGCGCTCGGCAGCGCGGTGGAGGGCGCATCTGCGGAGTATACGCGTTGGCCGTGGGGGCGTCAGCAATAAATGTCAGATGGCTGCTCTTCTCTGCCACGCAGAAGACTCCAATCGGCTTGATGTCGGGGTCCTCCACTGCCCACCTTGCGCAACAACATCCCAACATGGGCGTCGGCGCAGATCGCCGGCGGAATGGCAAGGTGAAGATCGACGCGGAGTCCGCAAGGGCAGACCGCCCGCACAGCGTCGCGCTGCATGCTCGAGCTCCAAGCCCTATACCACTGAGCGTCCGCGGCGGCAACGACGTTCGTGAGCGGCGCGGGGCCGTCGCCGACGTCGGGCCGGGAGATCAATTCCCGCGAGTAGGGTCGGCGGCCCGAAGAGAAAAGAGGATAACCCAAGAGGAGATCTGCAATAGCTCCATCAAGATACCGTCCGCCAACGGCAAGGCGAAGGCGGGCTGGGCGCGCGCGAGGAGCGCCCGCTGGCCTTCAGCGACCCCGAGGACCGACGGCACATGCACGGCGTTAACGTGGCGTCGATGGCGCCAGTGGCCCAGTCAAGCCAGCTCAGGTTGCCTGAGGGCAGGCGGCGAACGCAGCGGCTGCGCCCAAATTGGGGCCCTGGCGCCGATCATCCAGACGCGGCAAGGGGAACAGGCCACGCCGCCGGCGATCACCAGATCGCGAGCGGCACGAAGGCAAAAGTGGCCCACTTGCCGGCGCAGGGTCAGCCGATGGGCACGATGGCAGGGGAGGGCCCCCATCTCCACTCCCCGCTCCGAAGTCAGGTGTCATCTTTGCCAAGGCCCTTTGTCGCCCCTGGCCCCCTCCTTGCGGGCCGAGTCGCGCTCCTCTCTGGCTTTGCGCTGATCCATCCTGTAAGCGTTCATCTTCATCAGCTCGTCCTTGACATGGTCCTGGAGCGCGGGCGAGACGCGCGCGTTCCCGCGCCGCTGGCCCTGGAGGTCGCGCGTCGCGGGCAGGGCCCCCGCGTCCGCCAGGGCCGCCGCCGCGGCGCGCGGTCGCCGGGCACGCGGCCGCCCCGAGGAGCGGCGGAGGAAGGCCAGCGGGGCGGGCGCGCCAGTTGGAGGGCCAGCGGGAGCCGCGAGCGCCGCTGCCAAGCCAGCAACTCCGACCGCTGCTTCGGGCCCCTCGGCGCCTGCTGCAGGGGCTACGGGGGCCGCCGCCAGCATGCCGGCTGGGGCCGCTGCAGGTGGCGGCGCGGGGGCAGCCGCAGCCGCGCCGGCCGCGGCTGCGAGGGCCAGGGCGCCAGGCCGCGGGCGAGCGCCTCCTCCAACGCCGGCCAAGTTTGGCACCACCGTGGCGCCTGGGACCAGGGCCGCGCCCACGCGAGCCGCCGTCGCTGCCAGCACCTCCGCGACCCTTGCCAGGGAGGGGGCGCCGCGGAAGCCGTGTACATGGCTGCCAGACGCCGCCGGTTGGCATGCATCCACGCGGCCGCCTGCGCACGGCAGCCAGCGCCGCGCATCCGCGGCAGCGAGGTCCTCCTTATAGCTGTCGTCGTCTGGCGTGACTGCGCGCGCCATGCTTGAGCCATCGGGCGCAGTGACCGCCGACCAATGCGCAGTGCGCTCGCGAAGCCCGCGTGCTCCACGAGAGCGATGTCGCCCTCCTGCAGGCCGAGCGCCGAAAGCTCGTCTAGCGCCGACGCCGCCGCCATCTCAGCGCGTCAGCTGAGGCTTGGCAGCCTGCAGCGCCGCCACCTGCGCAGGCGCGGGGCGCGCGCCGAAGGCGGCCGCGGCGGGGCAGGGCAGCGGGCGGGGCCGAGGCCAGCCGCGCCGCTTCCTTTGGCCTCGGCGCCGCGCGCAGGCCCAGCTGCTGGCACCCGCGGCGGCGAGGCCGAGCCCAGGCAGGGGGGCCTCCGTGAAGCTGGACAGGGGAGGCCTCCGTGAAGCTGCCGCCCGGGCAGACCAGCCGCGGCTCGCGCGAGCACGCGCAAGCGGGGCAAGGACCGGGTGCGCTGGGCACTGCGCGCCCCAGTCCGCCGCGTCCGCGGCGAAGCCCCGCGTCGCCTCGCGCAGCACAAGGCCCCGCCCCCCCAGGAACCCCCAGGGGCCTCGGAGCTTGAGCGGTGCGGCCGCGCAGAACGCGGTGCGGCCGCCTGCCCGCTCCCTTCTTCGCTTCACGACATTAGATCTACCATGCATAGTTTTCCCCCACGAACTGGAGCTTAGTGGGAGCGTATCAGAGCACTTCGGTGGGAGCTGCTGGAGGCCTTCGAAGAGCCCGTGGGGCATCAGCTGAACTGGTGCCTTGTAGGAGTAGGAGCATGTCGGAGCCGTTTCTGAGGAACTGCTGGAAGCTTTCCGGGAACCTCCGGGGAGTGTCCTGGAGGCAGTCTTGGAACGTTTCTTGGGGGCTTCTTGGGGGCTTGCTGGCGGCCGTGGGGCGGGCGGGAGGGAGGGAGAGCGCTCCAGAGTTGGCTCTGGTGGGCCTCGCTTTGGGCCGTCTTGGGAGGCTGGTCGGCCGTTGTGGGAGTCCCCGGAACCGGGGTCTCTGGGGCCGTCGTGGGCTCTCTTGGGAGCTCCCGGGGTCGGTTGGGCGTCTTTTGGCGGCAGAATCGTAAGGGAAGTAAAAGGCGCCGCCGCCGCGGGCCCGGCGGGCGCGGACCCAGTGTGTCTTCTGGCAGGCGCTGAGCGTGGTATCGTAGTGTAGTCCAAAGCCCTCGGGGCGTGGGAAACAACTCCTTCGGGCGGGCGATTCGCCTTTCGTCTCTAGTCCGCTGCACGTGTCTCGAGAGCAGCGGGGCCTCCAAGAAGCCGTTCGGAGGCGTCTTGGGGATCTTTTCGGCCTTTTTGAAACATGGGGCTGCCTTGGGCGCCTCGTGGGCCATCTTTGGGCTGCCTCGGGTGATCTCGGGCCGTTTTGGGGCTGTTTGGGCTGTCTTGGGACGATATTCGGGCCCCCTGGGGGTCCTCTTGGGCCGTCTTGGGCACGTCTTGGAACTGTTCTGGGGCGTCTCGGGGCCCTCTGGGGGGCCTTCGGGGCCGTCTTCGGGCAAGCTTAGAGGGTCGTAGGGGCGTCGTGGACGTTCTGGAAACGAGCAAAACGAGAGTACTAAACATACACGCTGCACGCGTCCCGAAGGGATGAAAACGAATTTTGCTTCTTGGGGCCCTCTTGGAAGCCTTCTTCGAGGCCTCTGGGGGGGCGTCTTGGAGGCCTCTTGGGCGGCCTCGGGGGCCTCCCGAGCGCCCGGAAGCCGTCTTGCGGCCGTCTTGGGCCACCGGAAGCCGTCTTGGGGTCACCCTGCGGCCCTCCGGAGGCGTCCTGGGGCATCCCGGGGGCCGCCAGGGAGCGCGCCCGAGACGGCCGGCACGATGTTGGGCCATTGGGTCTCCCGTCCTTCCCGCACGCGGCGCCGCAAGCGTTGTGGTGTGGATGACGTTGGGCTTCAGCTTGGCCTCCCGCATCTCCCTGAGCAGCACCACAGCCCGCTGCCACTGCTCGCCCTTTTCGCACACGCTGATCCCAGCGTTGTAGCTGACTAGTGCTGAACCTGGGATTCGCACACCGTGGGATTCGCACACCGTGGGTGAACAGCTCGTCGAAGTTGAACAGCACGGGCGTCCCTGGGGACGTGTCGGGGGCATGTTGGGCCCTCCTGCGAGCCTGTCTGGAGCGTCTTGAAGGCTCTTCAGATTGTGGGCGCCAGCATCAGAGGAGCCCGGAGCCCGATAGGCTCCTATAGTGCGGCCCGAAAAGGCCCAAGCAGAGCCCAAGCAGGGAGCACCCGACGGATGCTACAACATGGGTGATGGGCTGAGGGCTTCCTGATCCAGGGATGGAGGGGGTCCACGATCCGAAAGTTCCTGAGTGGGTCGGGGGCAGGTCGGCATGATCGATTGGGCCTTGTGTAAAGTCTGAGGCTTGTTTTGGGGCTTCCGGGTCCAGGGAAGATCCCCCCTAGGATGAGGAGGAGGAGGAGGAGGAGGAGGAGGAGGAGGAGGAGGAGGAGGAGAGGGAGGAGGATGAGGATGAGGATGAGGATAAGGATGAGGATGAGGATGAGAATGAGGAGGAGGAGGAGGAGGAGGAGGAGGAGGAGGAGGAGGAGGAGGGAGGAGGAGGAGGAGGAGGAGGAGAAAGAGGAGGAGGAGGAGGAGTCACCCCTGCCTGGGTGCCTGGGGTGGAGGTCTGATGGCTTTCCACTCTGGCGGAGACTCGGACGGGCGTGGGCCCCGCCATGCACAAGCTCACGCGTGGGCATCGCGGGCGCTTGGCCGTCGCGGGCGTGCGCTCTCTGCAGGCTGGTCCGAAAGAGCTAAGTAGCTAGGTGGAGGCATACACGTCGGTCGGAAGAAGTAGGTAAAAAACATGAAGTGGGAAGGCGGATTAAGTTGATTGGGTCCAGGCCCCCACAGAGAATTACAGAACACAGCAAAAGCGTGTCGATTCTTGAAGTAGGAAGGCGCTTGAAGTAGATTGGGACCTGGGAATCCCAAAATACCTACTTTCAACGACTGGCGTGTAAGTAGCTGCGTGGAGGCATAGTGTTGTGAGAAGACGAGGCGGGGATGGGAAGTGCACAGGTTGGGAAGACATATGATATGTTCTGTTATGTTGTGCTCTAGTGTGTTATGTCACGCTCTGGTCTGTGATGCTGCGCTCTGTTCTGCCAGGGATGTTCTGGCATGCTGTGCTCTGGACTGCCGAGCGTTGTTATGGTCTATTATGTCATGCTCTGGTCTGACATGCTATGTTCTGTGATGCTATGCTCTGTTCTGGAATATATGTGCTGGTCGCGGGGGTCCTCTCGGGGGCCATTCTGGAGGCAGTTTGGAAGCCTCTTGGGGACCGTTTTGGGGCCTCTTCTAGGCCTCTTGGGGGCCCCTTGGGGGCTCTTGGGGGCTTCTGGGGGGCCTATTGGGGCCTCCTCGGCGCCTCTTGGGCCTTTCTGGGTGCCCCTTGGGGCGAAAGGCTCGGATGTTCGGTTCGCGTTCCCTCTCTTAGCCCCCTTTGGGGGCCATCTTGGGGCTCTCCTGGGCCGTCTTGGGCTCCTCTTGGGCCTTTTGGGGCTGTTTGGGGGCCCTCTTGGAGGCCTCTTGAGCCGTCTTGGGGCGGTCTTGGGGGCCTCTTGGGAGCGTCGGGAAGCCATTGCGCGTCTCGGGGCCCTCTTGGGCCGTCTTCGGGGCACCTTGGGGCCCTCTTGGCCCGTCGGGGGGTCGCCCTGAGCGGCCTGGGGACTCCTGGAAACGGCCCCGGGCGGGCCGGGGCCGCCGCAGGTTTTCCTGCTCGCACGCGCCCTGACCAGAATTGTAGTAGAGATGACGTCGGGCTCCAACTTCACCTCCCGCAACTGTCTGAGCAGTGACAGGCCCTGCGTCCACTGCCTGCCTTTCTCGCACGCGCTGATACCAATGTTGAAAGTGATGACGTTGGGCTTCAGCTCAGTCTCCCACATCTGACTGAGCAGCGCCAGGGCTCGCTGCCACTGATCGGACTTCTCGCACGCGCTGATCCCAGCACTGTAACTGATGACGGTGGGCTCCAATGTCGCCGCCCGCATCTCACAAAGCAGCGCCAAAGCCCGCTGCCACTGCTCGCCCTTCTCGCACGCGCTGATCCCAGCATTGTAAGATAGACGAGGGTTGGCTCAAATAATCACGCTCGCGCAAGTGCACTCGCATGCAAAGGAGGAGATCGCTTGCCGGCTCGCCTGCTAGCGTCTGTCCTGCGCGCGTGGCGGCTACGTTCCTGGCCTGGTAGCTTTCCTCCTGACGTTCCTGCCTGCATGCTTTCCGTCGTGCCTGATATGCTAGTGTGGCAAGCAAGTTTCTCCATCGCTCGCTCGTCCGCCCGCTGTCGCTCACTGCTGCTTGCTGCTGTTCGGCCCTTCTTGATGTTAGCTGCCGCTGTACTGTTGCTATAACTGCTGGTTTGCGGTTGCGGGCTGCCTCTTGCTGTGGCTTGCTGCTGCTGCTGCTGCTTGATGCGCAGCGCTGGTGTTGCCAACGCGTATTTCCACTTTTTGCTGCCAGTTTTCCTTGCCTGCTTACCTGCCAACGTGCTGTCCTGCCCGCTGTCGTCGTCGTCGTCGTCATCATCCTCATCGCCACCATCAATCATCATCATCATGTGCTTCATCTTCTTCATCATCATCATCACCGTCATCGTCATCTTCATGATTACAATGATCATCATCATCATCGTCATCATCATCATCAGCAGCATCATCATCATCATCATCATCATCATCAGCATCAGCATCATCATCATCATCATCAATATCATCATCGTCGTCACATCATTTGGAGCGTCGGCCCAGTACGGCCCGAGAGTTGCTCCAAGACCGTCCAAGACGGCTCGAAGATGGCTCCAAAATGGCTCAGAAGGCCCCCAGGAGGGCTGCAAGAGCGAAACACGTCAGGGCCCCAAGAGGCCCCGGAAAAGGCTCGTGACCGACCAAAGATAAGAGGGATGTTAGGCCAAATCCGGCAGCGAGCGCCCAGCAAGCGTCAGGGAGGCCAAAGAGCCCCATGCGGAGCGCAGGCACACGGAATCAGGAACTGGATCATGGCTCGTGGCACCGTTCACTCGGGGGAGACATCATCATCATCATCACCACCACCACCACCACCACCACCATCATCATCATCATCATCATCATCATCATCATCATCATCATCATCATCATCATCATCATCATCATCCTTATCATCATCATAATCGTCATAAGCATAATCAGCAGCAGCATCATCATTATCATCACCATCATCACCATCACCATCATCATCATCATCATCAGCATCATAATCATCATCATCATCATCAGCATCATCATCCTCATCCTCACCGTCTTCTTCATCATCATCAGCAGCATCATCGTCATCAGCATCATCAGCATCACCATGACCAACATCTGCATCATCATCACTACCACCGACATCATCATCATCACCATCACCATCATCATCATCATCACCACCACCATCACCATCAGCATCATCATCATCATCATCATCATCACCAGCATCATCATCATAAGCTGCATCATCATCAGCATCGTCATCATCATCGTCATCATCATCACCATCATCATCATCATCATCAGCAGCAGCAGCAGCCGCAGCATCGTCATCACGTCTTTTGGAACACCGTCCCAAAAGGGCCGAAGACGGCCCAAGATCGCGATAGACGCCTCCCAAATGGCCCCATAACTACATCATTGGGGACGTCGGCCCCAAACGGTCCCAGACGGTCCAAGATCGCGTCAGACGCCTCCAAAATGGCCATGCTGGCCCAAGATGCCCCCGAGAAGGCTGCAAGAGCGAAACACGGCATGGCCTCAAGAGGCCGCGGAGAGGGCTCCAGACCGACAAAAAGGGCGAAGGATTTTGAGCCAAATCCGGTAGGGGGCGCCAAACAAGCGTCAGGAGGGCCGAGGTGCTCCATGGTGCGCTTGGAGCCGTTTTGGGACCGTCTTCGGGCCGTCTTAGGCTGTCTTTGGCTGCTGTTGGGGCTGTCTTGGGGCCTCTGGGGCTCGTTTAGGAGCCTCTCAGCGCTTCTCTGTGGCCTCCTGGGGCCTTCTCGGGCTGTCTCGGGTGCCTCTTGGGCCGTGTTGAGGCCGTCCAGGGCCGTCTGGGGGTTGTCTCGGGCCGTCTTGGGCGTCTCCCTCAGAAGCCGTCCTGGGGCCATCTTGGGACCCTGTATGGTCGCCTTGGACGCTATGAAGAGGGCAAGCCCGGGAACTGCCAAAATGTATTTTTCCCGAGGAAGGGGCCGAGTTTTCGGTGTTCGAGCTCTCGTGGGTCTCTTCTTGGAGCCCACTTGGAGCGTCTTGGGGGCCTCTTGGGCCGTCTGGAGGCTGTCCGAGGCGTTGTCGAGCGCTCTGGGCGCGTCTCGGAGACCCTCTTGGACCGTCTTCGGCCGTCTTGGTGCCCTCTTGGGGGCCTCCTGAGGCGTCTCCGAACGCTCTTGGGCCATCTTGAAGCGCGCCAGGGCCTGCTGGGGCTCGGAGGGGCCGCCGGAAGGGGGCCAGTCCGCTGCCACCGCTCTCCCCATCCGCGAGCGCTGATGCGGCCATTGTAGGAGAGATGGTATCGGGCTCCAACTTCGTTCCGACCATCTGACTGAGCAGC